AAAGGCCGTTGGTAACTCAGCTAACTGACAATGCTGCATGGCAGCTTGCATGGCAGCTTGCATGGCAGCTTGCATGGCAGCTTGAGAAGCTTTTGACTTCAACAATGCGGCCATCGTCCAGCTGCACTTCTGTCAAGAGCTGTGGCCGGCATGGAACCCGACAAGCAAACTTTGGTGGCCTCTGCTTCAAAAGGCCTGCCCAGTCCGCCCTTTGAAGCACCGTCAGGGCACCAAACAGCTAGGGAGATGCATCAAGATTCGGTAGCTGCAGGGACCTTGGCAATGCTCACAGTGTGGGCGCTGCTACACGACTGCAGAGATGCTGCGTATGTCTGCAGCCATAAAACCAACCGTGCCTGAGAATCATGCTAAAAGGCATCATGGGCCATCATCTGGTGGGATCCGGTGAAGAAATGCAGGACAAGTTCCTGCGCTGCTTCGGATCAGTGAAGCCCACGTGCGGAAGCTGTGGAAGCTGCGGAAGTGAAGGGCGGATTGCTTCAGGCAACCAGCCGCCGGACAGTTTGCAGTTGGGCATGCGGAGCATGCAGGGCATGCAAACCACCAACTGACACCTTATTGCTGGCTCTCCGAACTTGCGTGCAGGCGCCAGGTCGAAAAAGCAACTTTGCAGAAATTCGGAAACAAAACAAGAACTTCAGTTTGACGCGGAGAAACGCCTTGGCTGTGATGGCTTTAGCTACCTTTGGCCAGCCTCGCCGTCTTTCCTTCTCGCGAACAACAAGCCGAATGGCCCTAACAGCAGCTCCTCTGCTTCTGGCCCAAGATGAAAGAGATGTCCGCTTTATCGGCACCCGTCTGTCCTTGGTTGCAAACCCTTACATAGCCACAACTTGGTACAACATTTCAAAACTCATCCGGGATACTGCCTTCCAAGCAACTACTCCTCTTCAAGGCAGTGTTGGACAGGACACGTCAAGGCCCTGTCGAATCCCGACATCAACGCTCAGTGCCCCAACTGCAGACGGTAGATCATCAAAGACCTTGGTCATGTTAGGCAAAGCGAGTACATGCGTCATCAGCATACATGACTTGATCCCGTGTCTTAGGAATCACTCCAGATACCGCAAGTGCAAGCGTATGAGATCTCAACGCGTTGTCATCTTGAGGGTCATGTGCAAGCTCAGACGTGCGCGCATCACGAATTCTGATGTTTCTCAAGTTTTCCCAGTTGCCTTCATGTTCATCCCGTGTCCAGAACAGCCGGTATTCCACGAAACGCATTGCTGGACTCAGCACCAGCGAGATCAGGGGACGAGGCCAATAGCATGAACCACATCTGCACCTGAAGGCCTCCAAGCGTCGTCCAGACACTTGGAATCTATCAGAAAAAGACATTCACAAGACGATACATTCGAACAACAGTGGCAAAGACTCCGGAGGCGGTGAGGCGGTTGGCAGTTTGCAAGGCTGGGCAGAGGACTGCCATGCTTGTTGCCGTCTCACTGCTTCTTGAAGCATTGACCACTTGCGATGCTCTTGGCCAATGTGAACAGGTTCAGTCTGAAAAGTTCAGAAGCAAATCTTGGGGTGGCCTCAACTTGCAACCTGCTTCTGCAACTAGCATTGATTGAGTTACCTCAGCCTCCAGCCAACAAGCGTCTGGAAATGTAGATTCACTTCAACCCCCCTCCGCCTCCCGTCAGCAAAAAGTGATGCCGGCAATTCCGAGGGTCCAAGGCAGCTTTAAAATGTGAACGCACATGGTTAAAGACGCATGTGCCTGAATTGGGGTTTTTCGAATGCAGCAAGCAATCTGGAAAACAAAAAAACGACCTGCAGCAACAACAAGCAGCATTGCATCCTATGCGCAGAGGTGAAGCTACAGCCTCCGCACACCGCCGCCCCTCCCCCGCACACGGAACCTTTAGTGCAGTTATATCGCCCGGCCGGGGCCCTATACTCAGCTGGACACCTGCAACCGGCGCCTTGCTGAAGGTCTAAACGTCTAAGCATGTCTTTCGTGCAGCCGCAGCGCAGGCAACTGGAAAACGAGATCCTCCACACACAAGCCGCCAGTTGACACGCATCGCAGGCGCAGCTCTAACCTCAGGAAACAACAATCAAAGCATGCCATGAAGAACTGCATGCGCACCTTCGCTGAAGCACCGTCCACGCTGTTTGAAAGTCAACAGCAGGCATCCCTCGCAGCATCCCTGCCAGGCGCAGATGCATCCACACAAGATCAACCCTAATATCCCCACAGTCCCAGTACTGAAGCAGCCATCATGGCTGCAAACGTCATGCTGATAGTTGTTTAACCTACTGGGGCATGAGATACATGCCCGGGCGAAGACAGAAAGCACGTCAGTTCCGATCCCCAAGGATTCAAGTTACCCAAATGTTCCCTTTAGCGAGTACAGTCATGCTGGAACAATCAACCTTCGTAGTGCTCGCAGAAGAATAGGCAGCACGCCATGACCCACATCCCGAGAATGCCTTTCGGCTGCGTGAAGAGAGGGCCGGGCTTTGCATGGACAAGAGCTTTGCACCAAAAGCCAAATATCTGCAGCATCCAGACACGGGAGACCAAGAACGCCACATAACGGAAAAAACACATGCAAAATTGCTTGCGAAATGCATGCTAAATCCAAATATTGTTGGTGTCTGCTCGGCGCAAGCCTTTCAAACAAGCTGCGTCTCGAGCGCGTGGGGCTTTCACCCGTGCAATTCTCCGTATGCGGCTGGTGAACTCTCTAATGTTTAAGGTCTCCCGAAAATCCACGAAGCCTTGCAAAGGGTTAAACCAACGGAACTCTTGACACCTTGATGAAGTTGAGCTGGGCGCGCTATTGTTTCCAAACGCCAAGCTTTAAACTGCACAAAAAGAGATCTAGTAACTAGTACCGAGGACCCAGCACTTCCTGTTCTACGAAGCTAAACTGAACTACTTCCCCTGACTTCCCTCTCCTGATGAATTTTCTTGTTAAGTTTACTAGGAGCCGTAGGATCCGCCTTCACCATCTTCATTTCAACTTTAACGAAGGATCCCCAAACCCCCCTAATTAGTTTTGTTTTTTGTTTTTTGCGGAAGGTCACCACTTTGTTTGAACACAAGGTCCTACAACTTGTTCTATGGAAGAGCCACTTGCAGGGACTACCCTTACCCCACGCAGGGTTGGTTTGCGCAGCATTTGGTGTACATGGAGGCGGTCAACAACTTACAGAAACAAATGCTCTAACTTGGAAGCCCTCTGACGCAAAACGTTACTTTTGATCACATGTTGCGCAAGTTGCCGATCTCTCCATGAAGATAAACATAAAGGTTCGTACATCCGAAAAGTCGCGAGACAATGATGTATGTTGATGCGTGAGTTGTGAAGATGCTTTCTAGGAGATGGAAATTTTGGACAAGCTAAACAAATTCCGCAATGTTGGCAGAACGCGTAGGCTGGCTATAAGTGCACAAGTTATCAGATGTCTCGAGATTGCCCCTCGCCCCAGCCCTTTGATGCCGACACCCAGGACAGCTGAAGCGCAAAATCAGCTGGGTGGCTGGAGAGCTTCAGAAGCAGAGTACAGCTATTTGAATTTGCAGTAGCTTTGGCTTGAAACCCTCAAACAAAAAAGCATGCAAGCGGTGGGTGACGCCTTGTGTTGTCTGACACCACATTAACAGAGCTCACTGGTAGCCCCTGTTTTGTCCACTTGCGCCTCTAATTCCTCTGGAGGTGCTCTGGACAAGTGGGCTCAGTAGGCAGCGACTGGCGATGGGCTCCTGCACAACAATTGAAAATCCGTGCTGCTTCTGAGACGCTTCATCTATAGATTCCCGCAACAGCCAGGTCCTCCAAGTTTACAATTACCTCCGCTTTGCTTCTACGTCTCTATGAGTATAAGTTGTATATCTTCTAGCACCTCTGTGGCCTGCCAGACGTCATCAGGGGTGCCACAGGTCTGTTCCCCTTGTGCCATGTTGAAGGATCTGCAGGCACTTTTGATTCAAATTGCGGCAAACTATGTGTTTCTTGCTTCCCGAACCCTCAGGAAAAAAAAAATGCTCCTAAAACCATGGCACATGGCATGCGATACCAGGACCGTATGCTATGCAACCATCTCTCAAAGTGGCTTCAGACTTCAGAAGGATGGGAGGAATAATGTGTATGAGACGTCTCGGTGGCTTAATGAAGCCAAACATGGACCCTGAAAATACGTACTTTTTCGCTTCGCAAGCCATTTAATTTGTTTTCGCAGAAAGCCTGGCCTCGAAATTGCATAACAAAATCTCGTCAAAAAAACATCAGGAGTAGGGATCTCCTTGGCTTTCTAGGAAACATAGTCTTGTAAGGATTGTATGTTAGACGAGATGTAATGAGTCTGAGCGAAACATACATCAAAGTAATTGGTGGTTCAATCATGTTCCTAGATGGAACGTATATGCTCATCTAAATTGTTCAGTACATAAAGTGTAAATTCTCAAGCATCCCCGCGACATTAAGGTTGTCTTTCAAATGCAGCCCCACCCCACACCCGGACTCATGAATGATGTTTTGGCCCGAGGGCTGGTCAATTGGTCCCGATATACATGAAAGCCCCCCAGCCAATAGCCAATATTTTGGCCCACGGATTGAATTTCGGTAGGGAGGGAACAGGCTGCATTCTTGTGGGAAACAATGATTTTGGAGGGTTCGACTGGAAAGGGAAGGGTTGTGGTTCCAGAGATTGAAATCGAATCTTTCAATGAAGTACACGCCGCACACTACACAGAAATCCTACCTCCTTTTGATCTCGGCCTGCTAGGATTCATTCGCGGCCCATGGAATTCAGCCAGGAAATGTCCTTGAAACTGTGGTCCCTAACCCCCAAAATCACCAGCAAACATATTTTCATCATTCCGGACCAACCTACAACATGACCACTCACATGATCACCTCAAAATGAACCCAAAAGGCGAATAGCTTTCACTCCGCAAGCCATGACGTGATATACATATAATGTATGTATTGAACCCTCGCACGTAACGTCCCGTGAACCGTCACCTGTCCGCTCTGAAGAAAGGGTTCTTCACCTAAGCTCACTGCAGAGCAACTGAATCACAGCCAAAAAAGTAGCTCGGCGCATGTTCTGGGTCTGAGTCTCCCGCAGGAGTTGGATTCCTTATGGGTCCTGGAGGGTCCGGAGACGGCGTCCGCTCTTTCTTGTTCTTGAGCATCATCATGCCAGGTCCTGCCACTGAGTACGTGCAACTTGAAGAATGCTGAACAAACCTTGTCCAATTTCTCCTCCGGAGAACTCACTGGCGCGTTCCTCACGGCGGCGGTCCCGTGCCCGCGAACGGCTGCGTGAACGGCCACGGCCCATCTCCCTGTGGGCAAAACGAATCATTCAGCACTGATTTTCTTGCAATGATTACCCTCTGTTCTGGCAATCTTTCTCCCGCGCTGCAATCTTCACTACACGTAAGCGCTAACTTGGGCTCCCCCCACGGATTGCGTTGGGAGAATATGCACCATTTGTGCTGTCACGGCCTTACCTTCCATAGGGAAGTCCAAAAACAGACAGCCCGATTCCTCCCCGCCATCCACTGAGATTCGGTCATGGTCTTTTTTTGGATCCCGCGTATAATACAGCACCTAATATTTAGGGTACCCAAAAAGGGACCATCATGTTGACAACCACCCATATATCGTTGATGCACGTTAGCCCTCACAGCTAACATTCGGGCTTCCGAATCCTTTTCTCTCACCAGTGGAGCTGGGTGCTATTGGATGTCGAAAGCAGACAAAGGAAGCTTGTTGGACTGTCGACTTCCTGATTATATGACTAATGCAGTACAGTACGGTCTTGAGCCAAAGAGGTAGCGAACAATACACCAATGTCCATACAGCGATGCGTAGCATGCGCTGTAGGATTCAGATAGGTGAATTAACATCATACTATATCATATTTACGTTGTGAGTGCACATCTCTTCACACCCCGCGCATTTGAGCGTAGGGATTAATGTGAGCCAAAGAAAGGAAACATGTGTTTTCTTACCTCTGAATTTCCGCTGCCAATGGTTCCCTTGCTGTTTGGACGAAGAAGCACTTCCCGCGGCATGGACGGTTTCTTGCCACATCCTTTCTCTGCCTTGCGCCCTTCTTCAATCTGTGCCTGCAGGATTTGGCGATATGCTAACAGCTAGCGGCAATGACTTCATGGTTTCTGTGACCTTTCGATTGGGGTGATGCTTCCGGCCCTCTTGCTTTACTTTGTTTTTGGGAGGAAGCTCGTAGCCGTGCTCATCTACCAAGCGCAAGGCGTCGATCAAAATCTTGTTGAAGTTCGCAGCCGCCACATGTGTAGCTGGGTTGATATGGAGGTACCCCTCTTGTCTTCGCATCGGTCCACGGATGTACGAGTAGGCACGGGCACCAAGGAACTTGTAGATGACGGTGGTCACGAGCATGTGGGCAACGGCGCTTTCACGATTTGGTGGCATCGCTTTAAGATCAAGCTGATCCCTCTGCATGTTGCAGGCATAGCACCTGCACAGAATCTTCATCATCATTGTCCAGCAAAGATAGCGTTGCTAGCACCATTCACCAGTCTCTGAGTCCTTCAAATCGTCGATTACCATGCCCTCAGTAATGTCGCACGCCAGGCCGGTAACATCCAGAAAGCGCGAAGCAATGCTGCTGGTGTCGTAGCTGATCACAACTGGCTCGCCATCCTGGGTCGGGAAGCTCAGGCTTTCTCTTGCCAGCCCTTCCAAATACGCCAGATCGTTGTCCACGCTTTCGTTTCGGCATTGGCACGATGGATGTCCTCTGTGAACCCCCTTGCCCTTTTCCCCTCTTTTGTGACCTTTCTCTCGATAGTCGCGGTGATGGGGTCGTCTTCAACCTCGAGCTCATGCTTCTTGGGTTTCAGCCACGGCGTCTTCATGAATTCTGCCAGACACCATTTCGTAGTTGGAGCATCAAACAGTCCCTCTCTGCAGAATGTGGCCCAAGGCCAACCTTGGCGAGGACTGCCACACCAGCAGAATCTTTGATCCAAACCAAAGGCGCATGACGTATACGGCATAAATCTTCCTCGCATCTCAGCGAGGGCGGTGGTTCCACGTGTTGTCAGGCACACAGACCCACGTCTCTCTTGCTCGCCCGAACGATGATGCTGTTCTCCGTGTCCGTGAGCCTTACGCTGATTAGGACTACCTCCTCCCTTTTGGTTCGCCCCTTAGGTGATGTAGAGTTACTATCAGGCGGAGAAACTACCTGCCGACTGCCGATTTTGAGGAGCCACTAATGGACACTGCGGGCGATAATGCCCCTCCTGTCTGTCCACAAGCAAAACACCGCCTCTGTTTACGCGCCGTAGCACGATCATGCTTAAAGCTTAAACCGACAAGGGCTCAATTCCCCTCCCGCCCCTTTACCCTTGCTGCGAAGAATCTGCACCATCTGCATGCCCATCAGAAGGGCTCAATTTAGCCACGCTTGTCAGTCAAAGCTTCAATCAAAGGCCATGGCTCAGCAAGCAAGCTCAGTTTCTTTTAGCACACACGAAAGATGAACTCTGATTGAAACATGCAAACTTACACCACCTGACTGCGCACCTTCCTTGATCTTCAAAAGCCTTGGGCCTAAGGCCCAGCTCGTCATCACAAGCCTGGCACGGTCACACTCCTCCTTGGGGCCCTCGAAAAGGACACCACCTTACAAGGAACGCCTGTCAGGTCGTTCAAAAGTCTTCTCAAATTCTATGGGAAAGATGGCTTGGTTTAGCTCAACTTCCCAAGCCGCATCTGCAAAGTGGGGCTTTTCTCGAGGTAGCCGCCCGCCCTACTGCGGGACAATGTTCTGAAAAGTGATAGGAGTATCCCGATGTTACGATTACAGAAGGAGGATAGCGCACACGCTCCTGCACTAAAACTAAAAACCCAAACACAAACTCAGGCACGTTCTTTTCAACTCAACTTCGAGCCTCGATAGCGGTGTCACTTGCTGACTTCAGGAAAACCGAGAACAAGGGTTTCCAACATGTCCCAGCGCACGTGTGTTGCACTCCAAGGGTTCGGTAAAATGTTGTTACCCCCTTTGATCGCCCACGAAAGTTTGAGTGTGTGATCACCACAACAATTCCGTTTCGGAAAAGCGAGAAAATTCTTGCCTACTGCAATGGACTCTCGGCACGGCCCAAAACCACACCTGCCCGCAGCTCTGACTGGCTGCGTAGCGCAAAAGAATCACCTCCTTGCTTCAAAGCTTTATCTTGGAAAGGTTATGTGATTTAGCATACTGTTACATCACTCCACTGCGAAAGTACATGATAAACAATGTACAGCGTATGGGCAGGGGACTTCTTGCGGCCCTTTACTCTTCGCTGCCCTTGCATACTAGCTTGCTGCCTGGCATCTTGGGACCGCTTTCTTGTTTTAGAGGCAGCTACGCATCACAAAGTGGAATAAAACATGTCATGGTTTCACCTGACAACTGCACACGCCGAGCAAAACTATGCACATCGCTCACCATGCAACACGCAATCACTGCGCATACCAATTATGGCTTTAAACATCAGTACGTGTACCAAAGTGCGTGCACCGAACTCACTTCACCAGCAAACATGTAGTTCAGGTAGTCCAACAACCACACGAACACTTAGCCAAGCTCAGGCGGGCCACATTGCTTGCAAGGACGCTTACCTCCCCTGACTGCATCGCCAAGACGAACAGTTCGGACTCGTCCAGGATTGGACCGTACCATGCCACATGTAAGACGACGGTAACATGAACCATCTCGTTTGGCCTGACCTGTGGAACTGGTTGCTGAGGAGGGATCTGCTGCTGAAGGATTTGCTGCTGGGGCATCTGCTGTTGTAGTACCCCTCTTTCTGCCGCATCTCTACGCGCGGGAGCTGCAATATGCTCCTCCAACCACTGGAACACTCGATCACGAACTTCATCGCGATCATCTCCCTGAACTGGATGCTCTGGTGCTGGATGACCACCTCCCTGGCTCGCTCCATGGTGCACTCGCGCACCCTCCAGAGACGGTCTGCGAAGGGTCTGGAAATGGTCCCCATGCCTTTCGGCATACACCCGGACCAAAGGGTCTTCTTGAAGCTTTTCTTCGAATAGGGCTTCTTTCAGAGACCTGACATTACTTTGCCGCTGCGAACGCCCCTCAGTGGCGGTGAGAATAGAGGAGGCCCCGTTGGGGTCCATCCTTCTTACCGGCAGCTGCGGAATCCCCCTTGCCGTGGTGGGGCCACGCACGGCGAATACATGGCACTGCGGGCGGACGCGCGTAGCTGCATGCTGAGAGCGAGGCCAACAGGTGAGCCGGCCTAAGAATCAAGGCGCTGGGTGGCTCTAGCGCATGCACAGTCCAAGTCCAAGCTGCGGCGCGAGTCGTGGCCGTTCTCAAGGCCGACGGCAAGGACCGTCCCGCCTTGAGCCTTGAGCTGCCAGGTTGTCCAGCCTGCGCCAGCGGCTGCCCTTGAAAAACTCCACAAGGTTGGAGTGTGCTGCGAATTCTTCTCCGCACGAGTCCGGGTGAAGGCACAGCCCAAAAAATCAACAGCCTTCGCACCTGGGACACTTTCAGGGTTTCAGGGTCACAGTGCACCGACTCCCTCAGCCTGCAAATTCTCCGTTTTGGTGGGCCTGGCCGCAAGACACTTGCAAGGCTCCTGGGCTCCTCGTCTATGTGGACATATGCGGCTTATGGTCCTGGAGGAGGGACAGGGTGGCCGTTGCCGTTCACGTGGGGCCAGGCACCTGTAGTCTTTGTCGCGGCCAAAAAACAGGGCATCGTGTCGGAGGTCATGTTCGGGCCGCGACGCAAATTCAGGTTCGGCGCCAAGAGCTTCTTCGGCTTCGTGCGCCAGGCGGTGCATCTCAACACAGAGCGCTTGATCGTGCTTGGCCGCCTGCTCAGACGTGGGTCAAGGTTCGGAAGCTGCGCGGGATGGTCGCGGCGGGGATGTAGGGCTTGGCGCAGGTGGAGTTGGGACATGGTCTCCGAAGTCCCACACTTGCCATCGGCAGCCCCGCCATTCAAGATCTGTCCTTCCAGGCCGACCCTCGGCCTGGTTCCACCCTGTCTGCGTGGCTAGCCCTCTCACCCCCCGCTCGCGCCAAGTAGGTTTCAGCTTCAACTGCAAGCTCTTCCGGAGTGAAGTTCAATGTGTGTAAAAAAATTACGGCATTGTTTTTTGTTTGTTTACCCCGCAGCGTGCTTTTTGCCAGCCACGATCAGAGCACTGTGTACACGCTGAGCAAATATTTTTTGGCGCTGACATGGTCCATGTGGGTAGCTCAGTATCTTTTGACCTGATGCGAACACCAGGTCTGAGAGAAAAGCTGCACAGCTTCTAAGGGTACTCAGGGGCCTAGGCCCAGCTGCCTAGGAGCTGAGCGGAAGGTGACGGGCCCCGGAAATGGTACTACATGGTGGGGAACCGAAGCCTCCAATGACCTTGCCGCTGTGGATCAAATCCAGGAAGAACAAAGCGTGCTGACCCTGCAGGAGATCCCCACAGCCCGCCCCAGAGAAAAAGAACTGACCTGCTGTCGCTGTTGCAAGTGGGTCAACGTGAATGGCCACAAGGTTCAGTTCATGGATGGCCGCCAGACGCTCAATCCAATAACACAGACCACCCTCACGCCTAGGACCTGAGCAAAGATGCACAAAGAACTGCAGGTTTTGAGGCCACCGTCCCAGACAGATCTAGCTCGTTGAGCGGAGAGGGCTGCTCAGCATCGCCCCCCTCCCACCTTCGATATGGCTCATGCGCAGGATTCTCTTCTGAACCATGTAATACCTTCAACTGGAAGGCGAAGCTTTCGCAAAGGACATTGTTGAGTTGTAAGGCTTAAACTGCACGGCAGGCTTAGGTTGGTATAGACACAACCATGATCAGTATACCGAGCAATAGTCTGCACCACCGCTCGTGGCGCCACTCCCCACGCACGCCCTATGCCTGTCAGAGACTGTGTCTGGGTGGACTCTCTGCTGAAAAGGTAACCCTGCATCCGCGGTCACAACATCAGTGAGAGCTTGCGCCCAACACGCAGAAGGCCCAAAACCCATCGGAGCGGAACATGACGCTGGGAACCGCTGGCCTGAGCTGCTTGCTGACAGCCTCCAGGAAAAAGGAGGTCTACACAGCCACCACCTCCAGCGTCTACCGATTCGCAAACGGTGAAAGTAATGTCGAGCATGTCCTTTCGAAACGAGCAGCCCCAGTGGACGGCACATGTGTGCTGCTGAACACCGCGTTGATGAGCCACCTGGTGGGGCTTCTTGAAGCAGTGTAGTCCAGCATTCACATTCTGCCTGACCAAGGCAAGGTACGAGGACGCCAACCACGCGTAGCCTCGCGTGACACGCCTTGGCCCCTGTTTGGGCGCCAGTGGAAACAGACCTTTGAAGCGCACATCCGCTGCTCTCTCAGGCACACCTCACCCCCAAGGCCAACACCACCCCGCTGCCAGAGTAGTGTTCAAACTGCTTTAGATACTTGTCCAGCCCCTCACTGGACAAAATTTGCTCATCGGTCAACACCATAGCCGTAGCCTCTAAGGCACTGACCACGCGATCATGCACCCGGTCGGTGGGCTGCAGTCAGAGATTGGCACTCTCCAAGAGCTCAGGGCAAGGTGCTTTCAAGAAACCACTCCCTCGGGCAAAAGTTGAGCGCCAATCACTGTCCAGCGGAGGCAACGGAACAACATGCGCAGGAGAATGGCCCAAGCCTGTACCTCCATGACGGCGCTTCGCCACTCTGAATTCTTGCAAAAGGATTTGCACCCGCTTGACCTGAAAAGTCAGGGAACTAAAGCCACTTCCAAACCTCAACGCGTAGGCCAAGCTGCCCACACAGATCAGGCGTAGAAGGCTCCAAGTCCCGTTGACCCTTCCATCAAACTGGCTATCTCGCGGCGGTTCACGGCATCTAATTTCTCCGCGAGAGTGAGTACCTCCTTCATTTCCCGGATCTCTGAAAGGCCCGTGAACTGATGTGCCCAGGCCGTCACGGAAGCTTCTCTGAGCTGGCTGGATCGTGACAGCGTCCCCTTCGAACAACGGGCACACACCCCCGCCAGGAAGTGAGCCGTCAAAGCGCGTGGGTTCTTGCTGCGAAAGCTACTAGGCCCCCCTTCTTCTTCCACCGATGGCCATCCACATGCGCCAGGTCCGCGTAGCTCACCTTCCGATCGCGGCCATTCTCTTTCCACCTCAGTGGATTGATTGCCGCTTCCAGGGCTTTCACATCTGGACTCGCAGCCTCCCCCCAGCGCAGGTACCGCGGGCGCGTCCGCGCCTGCAGCCGCGCGAGTCGCCGGCTCACTGCAGGCACAACTGGCAGAGGAACCTGAACAGGCTCCAGCCTTCCTCCAGAGCCGGCTGCATTCACCATGTAGCTTCCGGCCCCTGCAGCTTGCAACTGAGCCAACAGCTGTGTGGCATCCCATGATCTGCATGCTTTCTGGACCGGTTGGTCTCCACTGTTCCGGCGTTGGGAGGCACACACCGCCAGTTCACTCGGGCCGCCTGGATTCCAGGCGAAGGCTGTCCCCCGCACATGTGTTGGAGGCATCATCCGTCCTGCCACCGGCCCAAATCCAGTCGGAGCCATCCTCGTTGGTGGTCGGAAGCAGCTCCCCTACCTACCTCGTCGAAATTTGGGGGCCGAGAGATCAAGGAAAAAGTGCCAATCTGAAAAGGCTCCCATGCCGCTGCCACCACGGCAGCCTATCGCAGGTGAGTGCCCGGCGTTCTGTCCGAGAGTATGGCAATAAAGCCTGACCAGACCAGCCGCTCAGGTAGCCGAATAAAGCCACCAAGCAGATTAGCAACCACTCAAGCAGCCAAAGCAAGCTCAGAATCAAATGGAACAGGACATGCCCTGCCACCACGGTACACTGCCAGAGCAAAGGATACCACTCGATCAACAGAAGACCTCCACCAATCAACAGGATTTTCTGCACGCTGAAGCCCAGCAGCGGATCCCCCAGGAGTGGCACTAACAATTTCACTGTGTGTTGTTATGAGCTCTGTAACAGCCTGACTGGCCAAGCGCTGCGCCAGGTATCGCCAACCCTCCGTGGAGCGCTAATCCTGCGAAACCTGAGATGGCCAGCTGGTTCCCGGCACGGTCCATCCAAGACTACCTGACCTCTTCTTGAGAGACTTGAGCAAATTGGCAACCAGAGGTTGCAGTAACTTGAAGCATCAAGAAAGAAACTCGCTAGTTGAAAAATGTCCCAGAGTCAGCCAATGGATGCATAGAATGTCTCAGACAAGCACTGATATTATCATATCGCTTCACATTCAGCCTCCCCCTTCCTCAATAGTAAACCTTGAATTCCTCCCACCCTGCAGCCGATATTAAATCAGTCCTCAGCTGCTTGACCAAGATGTACATGTGTAGCAGCGTGGAAAGCTCACTGCATGGAACAACAGCTTCGAGCATGTTCTTGCCTGACCAGCCGCCGGGGGCTTGGACTCTTCGGGTCGTTGCGCGACGGGAAATTCGCCCTGGGGACCTGAAGCTGGGGAAGGCGAGAGCTCTACAACTCTGTAAGAGTCTCGACATGTCACGTCTCGACAGCTCTCTAGAGCCATTTGATGGCGTTTGCAACCCTCCTTGCAGCTCTGGCAGCATCTGAAGGGCTCCTCTTGCGCCGCGGTGGGCTTGGGCCTCAGTGTATCTCTTTCAACCAGGTCCAACAACAACACATCCAACACAACAACGTAGCGACAAGAGGTCTCGGGTACGGGCGCCGGCGCTCGGGGCTGCGGCGTACAGGGGACCGGGCACGGTTGCGCCCGTAGAGGCGTGGAGGACTTCGACTGCGCGGCCGCCTGCAAAACATGCACTCTGCACTCACCTCACACATCACTCCTTCACTATGTTCACTCACTCATTCACGTCCCTTTGCCTCGGTGGGCCAGAGTTCGAAATTGCCAGCGGGCCTGGGAAGTTCTGTCTGTCCATGTGACGTGGCGGCCAGCCATGTCTGCCTTTCGAGGCCATCACCATCGTTGCCTTTGGGCCCGCCCGCTGGACCAACTCCTACCTCAGTGGAGGTCATGCGCGTGCACGCAACGTCACGCAACGTCATGCAACCATTCGGAACCAGGCAGGGAAGCCATCGACAAAGACCTGGCTGGCTTTGAGGGCGGCGTAGGCCCGATCCTTACGTGCCAGCCAGATGCAGCAAGACCTGGACCATACAGGTTCCCAGGTGCCGGCAGCAGCTTCCTGCGTTGCAAAACGCACATTCACGAAGTCCTGCGATGCTGGTCTGAGGCAGTGCTGAGAATCTCCTGTGTCGTGATTGTTTGGTGGGCACCTCACCAGGAATGCCAGAATATGGTGGCTTGTGGCAGTGGATGACCTATCAGCACACGAGAGACACACATGATGCAAGCGGCTCCGCAAGCATGAAGCAAGGCTGACGCCCGTTGCCTCCCCAAACTGTGCCATGGCTCGGGTCATGCCAACTCGACTGTGCTGAGGCATGATGCCTCAGAATGTGTCATGCCAGGCCAAAACCGAAGGATCCGAAGGGGATCCGAAGGCTGCAAGAAGCTTCAAGATGTGGTCAGCTCGGACCCCAGCCAGTGGTGATTCGCACCAACGCCGACATGCCGAGATGGCTCTGGCTCCAGTGCCCTGTCAGGCAAGTCGGTGAATCCTGCAACACTGAAGACTCGGGCTGAAGGCCTTGGAGCAATCAAGCGCATCAAGCGCCCATGCGAAATGCCTCCAAAAAATCTCGGTGACGACTCGGAAAGAACAAAGCTCCAAACTGCCTCTCTTCGAAGCTTCCGAAACGAGCCCTCGTCGAGCCCGTGGCTATACGGCTTCCGCGGAGCATAAGTTCTTGGACATGCCGTGCTAATTTGAAGAGTGGTACTGAACGTTTCTCATACCTTTCCCAAGCCTTGGCAGATTGTGTCTGGTGAGCCGTTGGTCCATCCAACACGTCTCTCAAACCATGATCTCCAGTTTACACTTCCACCCAGCACGTTGGACCCGACCGCTAGTGGTGGTTGCCTTGCAATGCAGCCAAGCAAAACCGCACATGTGGCATGGTCCACCAGTGATAGCTGTAGAACTAGGTCGTCTGTGTCGGGAACGGTATTCACTAGCATTTGGGCAGTGACGGCAAATACCTAATCCAGTCCAAAATCATGACTTAAGTATCATGATCAAATATGATCAAAGAATGCAAGTCTCTGTAGATGATTGTATCCCAGCAGAGTCTTGTAAACCAGCTCTTTCCAGCGCGCTCCTTCCAGCGCCATGCTTAGCAGGCAATGCAAATTGCAATGCAAATTGCTACGAAGGCATGCTTTCGGGGACCTGGACTCAGAGCATTTCTCACGTTATGAAGTTCATGGAAGGGAGATGTCGAAATTTCGCCGGCACTGTGGTTTCGTGCCTGTTAGGGCAGCTGTGTGGACTCAGAATGGCTTTAGCAACATGCATGCTACGGCGTCCGGATGCTCTTGAAGGCTCTGTTGACCAGATCGTAACATGGACCTTCTGACGGCAAGCATTCTCTCGTTGACCTGTAACACGGTTCGTCGAAAGAGAATTTGAATCTCAGAAGCAGCTAAGCCTCTTCAATTTGAGCGTCTCAGCGAGCCAGCGGCAAACGGCCGCAACGGCAGTTGGAACGAAGAGTCAGAGAAAGCTCAGAGAGATGAGATGAGAGGAGCACACGTATACGACATGCACTTTTACCGCGAAAGGGAAGAGCTTCAAAGAAGGATTTGGAAGTTTTACTGCACATGGCTCTCGTTGGAGGCTCTTGTTCGTGGGATCTTGGAAAATCTCACGCCGCACGCCGCTGAAAGCCAAGCAGAGGCCTTGGGGCCTTGGGTGGGCTTTCAGCAGCCCTGGAAGGCGGTTCGAGACCCTGCAAAAGTGCTGAAGTCACTGAATGCCGTGTTGGTGTGGGCTGCAAGTAAGAGTAATCTGCATGTTGATTGCTGCAAGTCAGTTCGTTTGGATCCGGATCCACTGCAGAACTGAAAGGCCTCAGCGGCAACACACTTGTTTTGGGACCGCCGCAACTCTACACAGCTTCCAGATTCAGCGGCTCAACCATGCTCCGGCTGCATCTTCGTCTCGCCTTCCTCTGCATCCTCTGCATCCTCTGCATCCTCTGCGTCTCCCGCTTGGTCTCTCAGGTCCAGCCGGGCCACAAAGCGGTCGGACTCCTGAGACTCTGCGCGGCCAAACACAAAAGTTCGCAAAACCTCGCGAAACAGAGGAGCCTTGAAGTAGCGCTTGAAGCGATTCTTGGCACTGTCAAGGCGGTCCAGACCGCCAAAGGGCCTGAAGCGAAGCTGAAGCGAAGCTGGTGCTAACAAGCTGCAACTTCTGTGCATCTGAATCTGGTCTGCCCAGGCCCCAGGCCTATGCATGGGAGGCTCGGGCACGCCTTTGCTGGTCTCCGGGTAAGCCTGGCAAAGGTTGTCTCTTCTTGTTGTCAGCTCTGATGCGTTGGACTCTGCCAGCTCCGCCCGTCCGGCTGGCTGCCGCATCTCAGCAGGCGCCTCAGTGAGCCGGCTCATCTCTGTGCGAGAAATGGTAGAGGATGCAGAGGATGCGAATTCATCTTAGAGATCGGCAGCTGGAGCCGTGCCTTGGAGCACAAAATCTTGAGTCAGCGAGCTTTACTCCTCTTACCATCGCTTCCAGCACGGACGAGCTGGTGGCCGTGGAGGGGCAAGCGCTTACCATCTCGGCGGCGGAGGGCATGCGACCTGCCCTCTGGAGGCAGCAACGCCTTGACCTCGCAACAGAAAATAGCTTAAAGTAAAAAGAAAAAAGTCGAGTGACTTTCAACTTTTTGCAGCTTCGCGGTTTCTCCTTCGCAGCCAAGGGAGTTGAGGCCATGGCGAAAGGCCCTCGAGGAATGACCAGCAGCCCACGCTCATCCACAATTCGCTTCCGGCAGGTGAAGGCCGTCTTCTGAAACAAAATTCAACTTCCAGGCATTCATTGCGCCGGCTCTAGCACCCTGCCTCAATGTAGTCACTGGGGAGTGTGAAGTAAACCTCTGAGCTACTCCGCCCCATTGCTAGGCACTGCTGTGCACCACAGCTTTGCCACAACAGTCCGGGGATTAGGCGGTGCTTCCTGTTTTGTCTGCTTCTACTCGAGCAATCATCTCCGGAACGAAGGGCACGTAGAGCACCTCAGCATCAAAAGCAACGTTTCGATCACACACATGCAAAGTGCGCACACTTTGCATACACTGTATGCCTACTGCATACATTGCATGCAGCCCAGCTAGCTCGACTTCAATTCAGCTTAAACTTCCTCACAGCAGCATAGGCCACACAGAGTCCCACTCGGCACGGAACCTGCTCGAAGTTTGGGTCCGCGGTTCTCCAGCGATCCATCTCCAGCGCCCTCAGTGCTCACCGAGCAAGAGCCGAACGAGCCGAGCGAGCCGAGCGAGCCGAGCGAGCCGAGAAGAAGAAGTCACAAAGAAACTCAAACAAACTCAAACTCAAACTCCTCCCTCCTCAGAACTCTCAACCTCTCTCTAAATAACCTTCCTCGTCCGCAGCAGCTACTGAGCTCTCAGCTTGCCTGTCGGCGATGCCTGAGTTGAATTCAAAAGATGAAAGAAAAATCCGAAAGCTCGGAAAGCTTGAGAGTTGCAACGCACAGTCGCAGAGTTGCGGACTGGATCTGGCTCGTAGAGAAATTTGGAGTTCTGGCCTGACCGGCTCTCCACCTCGCGAGGTGGGTCTGCTGCTAAGCCGCTAAGCAGATTAAGCTGCATGCTTATTGCTTTGCATGTTTCTTGTGTTTGTGCAGCGCCTTCACGGGACACACTGTCGGTTATGACGCTGAGTGCAGGAGAAGATTGAGCTAAATTCTGTCATCTAACGAGTTATACTTCGGTGGCATGCCTACGATGATTGAATTACACCATCGGTACAATCAAGATGCCTCACGTCCTCGCGTTCAGTATCGACCCTCAATTTTATCCCGAAGCTACCTACAAAGCTTAGGGCTGGGAGGAGGTCAAACATCAGATGGGCAAAATGCCCTTTTGCGTCTTGCGCGTCTCCTTGCGCAGAGGGCCATGCTCCAATGGCACATGCAGTTTCGGTACACTTCTCTGATTCGTGCAGTGAACAGTTACATTTCTTCTGCGCCTCATCACCCAGCAGGCTGATGTCCAAGAGGTCGTGTGCCGCCTAGCTGAGTGACCCTGCTTTCAAGCAAGGGACCTTCTGATTTCTCTGCCTTGCGCCCACGGTGCCGACGTGCAATCTTGTAGTCGGGGACCTGATCAATTCGAAGCGGCTTGAACACGACAACAGTCTCCTGGAAGGAGCCCTGCCACTGCTGAGACATTGCCGAAGTGGCGAAGGTGTGCGCCGGACCTGGCAAGTACCTTGCTCTGGGAGGCGCGGCGGTTAGACCATGGACGACAGAGTGAGGGTGTAGTGTTCTCCGTCTTCTTCTTCTTACTCTTCTTCGAGCTCTGAGCGCCCCAGCGCGCTGGACCTGGGCCCCAGAGCCCAGCGTTCATGTTCGGCAGGGTACCTACTAGGCCCAGGATACTGCGCATTCCATTTCCCAACAAGTTGCATAATAGCAACGTTCAACCTTTAGCCATTTGCGCAACACTTTCATTGGGATCTGGAACGGGCCTCTCCCCTTCTCCGGTAGGCTGTGAAAAGACTCCCTCATTCGGGCCCTCTGAAAACACGGCTACATACCTTGAAGCCCTGTCCCCAGTCTGAAATAGTCTGAAGGGTTGCTTGTCCCTCGCCTTTCTGCTGGCAGACTGAGGTTCCAATACGCGGTTCAAGTCTCTTCTTCTTCTTCGGGCTAAGCTGGCCCCTCACGGACCAGCCGGCGCACTGCGCCCAGCCCAAGCTGTCCGGCGTTCAGGTCGGGTACCAGTAGGTACACAGGCTCAAGTCTGTCTCTCTCTCTCTCTCCCCCCTCTCCAAGCCTCATGGGCCTTTTCCGGTGTGTCTGCAGCTGCGAATTCGCCGAGCACTTCAGCTGTGACCTGGCACTCAATCAGGGTTCCGGATATGACAAAAGATGCCAGCGGTGGGGACGGCCTGACCCATCACTGCCACGCAGCGAGAGCCGATCAAGCCCAATGCATCACCTCAGAAAAGTTCAGGAAGCAAAACGCAAGGTTCCAAAAAGGCGGTTTCAGGGGCGCCGGCTGGTGTGAAAAGTGGTTGTTCCAGCGTCATAGAGGTCCAAGCCTACCGATGGAAAGCAGGAAGAAAGGAAGACCACACACCCACACACTTATGCAATCACTGGCACGTGTCCATCTGTGCCTCGGTTCTCCGCTTCCTCAGCAAAAGCCCTTCTCTTCACTCTTCACTCTTCGCTCTTCGAGAGGCGCGGTGACCTTGCCTTGGCCTTCTCTTCTGCGGTGGGGGGCGGTTCTAGCCTCAAACCATTTCCCTTTCAATCCCCCTCCCAACCCCGCAATCCAACCTAGACTCTCGGGATCAGGCACGTAGACCTTATAACCACGCAGAGCAACTGCCTCGGACTCACAGCCACATGCTCCCTCACATGTTGAATTTGGCTGGGGCAACCACCTCCTCCGGCGACTCCACGCCATGCAAGCGCAGCGCAAAAACCCGCCGCTGGACCTGAATGCTGGGCAGATTTCAAGCCAGATTGAAGCCAGGAAAATGAAGAGCTACGTCTGAGGCCCTGACCCGCTTCCCAGTCAGGATCCTCCCAAGCGTACAGGGTTAAGCTCAGGGAACTCCACGCCTGCCCCAACCTGAATGGCCGCGGGAAACGGCGATGAGGCGGCTTCAGGTGCACCTCGCAAAACTTTGTAAACTTTCCTTCTCCTACAAGTTTGAACGCGGGTCTCAGAATCTGACCCGTTTTGAATCTTCAGTGAAATTGGAGAAGTTCCGGCCTACGGTTTCACGAGCGGCGCTGCGTTGCTTCAGCACGCCAACGAATGCTTTCAAAATTGTGGAGGCTCAAGCGGGCCAAATGCGCTGCAGGATCGTAGCCTGCAGAACTTGGTTTGACTGAAGCACCATCGGGGACACCGCGCCTTGATCACACAGGAAGTCATCTGCCCTGACTCGTACGTCCCCGTGGACGCCTTGTAGACAAGAACTTATCAAGCGGATTGCAAAGTATGCAAAGTAGTGCCCAGGACGCGCACCATGGGCACCAGTCACCTCGCCCACGAAGGCAAAGCCAAAAGACTCCGGGTCGTGGGGATCCAAAGCATGTCCCTGGGCAGCCACAGGCTTACCATATCCGTACACTGCGTGCTGCTCACCTCAGGTTGTGCCGTTCGTGCCTCAGGCCACGTCGAACGCCACATCTCGAGCCACTTCCTGAGCAGCTTCCAATTCAGGTGAGCAACACGACAGGTTTTTATGAGAGCTCCCAAGGGCCCAACCTATCCCTCTCCTGGTCAGCTCTTTCTTGGTCCTCTGTATCCTGTCCAAAAACTCTGTTGCCAAAGTTCAAGTTGCCGCCGGAATACCTCCAAAGGAAACCCGCGATTGAACTTGATCTTGCCCTCTTCCTCGCCAACCTGCCAAATTCGCAGCATGAATTGTGCGACTTGAGCTTTCCTTGTACCTTCTTGCCCCGGTAGCGCCGGTGGCCGCCCGACTTTTTCTTCAGATCCCCCCATAGCATCCGCCTCTCCCTGACTGCAGGCAAGCAGTGCAAAGCAGTGCAAGAAATGGTGCAACTCTGCCAGTGGCCCAGTGGCCCAGTGGCCAAGCAGCTTCAGGACCCGACGTATCGTTTCGCACTGCATCCATCTCCTGCTGCCATTTGTCCAGCCTTGGACAGCGATTCTCCGAGTCTGTGCTGACGGAGCCAAGAAGGGCCCTTGCGGGGAAGGATTTTGCGCTCTCCATTTTCGTCGTTCTTGGAATGCCTTATTTCAGGACGCTAGTGCACCTAAAAATGTGAACACAAAATGTCGCCAAGCTATGGATTGTGCTTCCTCTTTTCGCTGTAGTTTCAGTGCACCAGTTGCCTGCACGTGGTCACAACGCCTGCACTGCCTCTCTGTCAAAAGAATCACATGCCTCCAGCAGTTCAATCTGCTGGCTTTCTAATTCATCCCGAGACGGGACATAGTCCAGAGCCTTCATGGACAATCGCTCGAAGGGCAAAATTCCTTCAAGGCATCCAACCTCCCCTTCGGTCTCTTTGGTGCGGACCTGGAGGGTGACGCATTGTTAAGTCCATCAAAGTACCGCCTTTTTTGGACACACGTCACCTGGTCCTTTCCAGCGCTGCGGATCAGCCGGCTCCTATGCCGGGTTGAAGCAGCAACCTCAGGAAAGTGAAATCCAATGCAAGACCGCGTTATGATAAGCAGGCAGGCAAGCCACCAGCACGCTGGCCAAATATTCCAACGAACCACTGCCGCAACTGTTGCGACTGCTGAGGTGCCGGTTGTTGCTGCTGCTGCTGGTGCTTCCTCCAATGCGGTAGCTGCCTGATCTAACAGCACATTGCTCACATTGTACGGGCCTGCTAGAGCATAAACAGTTGATTCCAAATGGTGTACATTGCTAGCAGCTAGGAAGCCTGTATGCAAACCTATTAAATACTTTGTCACTTGCATCTGCCTGGCCCAGGACGCAACAGAGTGGGTTCCACACCTTCCAAGGCAAAACCCCCCAAAACACGGTCGCTGCCACTTGTTCATCACTCAAAGTGGGCCTTGACGCCGAAGCACACTTGCATTGGCAGTTGTCACGCAAAAAGTTGCCATGCAGCCCTACAGCGGTCTCTAGCTCAACGTGACGGCATGACATTGCCTACCCTGATACCAAGCACATGTTGGGGGCATTTAGCATGCCCTCCATCCAGCACAAACATAATCAACACAATGCATATTTTCATCATGCTTTTCTATCCATAATTTCAACATGCGGGCTTTGTGTGGTCTTTGGTTCCAAAACATACGATGATCAAAACACATACATGTTCCAGTTGGTTTCCTTGAGAAAGTTCAACAACAAAACCATGCAGGAAAATAGCATTACGTCCACATTATGTTCCAAATCTAAGACTTGTATCTTGAAATCAGCCAATTTTAAGTGATTGCCTTGAAACACAGCTCCTGAAACAAATATGAAACAAAACATTTGACAACTCATAATAGTATATCGCAGGAGGCGCATCAAACAGTATTTGCAATCGACTCGGAGCATGCATACTCAACTGATAGCATATGCCTGTCCTCACTTTATCAATGGGGATCGATTGCCTGTGCTCCGGTCAAGTTCCACAAGCTTGAAGTCGAAGTGTGCATTCACATCTGGGAGGTGTCTTTCAACAAAACAAAATTTGAGTTCATACAATAAGGTACCATAAGCGAACATGTTGAATTTTTTGAAAACACTCAAATTGAATTGAATGCCTTGTGAACACAACACTTGAAACAAATATGAAATGAAACACGCGACAACTCCTAAAAGTATCTGGCCCGAGGTACACCAAAATACTACTTGCAATCGCATACTCATTTCATGGCATATGAATTTCTTTTCTTTTCCATGGGGATCGCTCGCCTCATGCTCCCGGTTTTGCGTGCCGCTCCCCCATTCTGCCTTCAGCGAAATGGCCTCAAGCTCGACCTTACATGCAGCAACCGAAAGTGGGTGCCCTAGGCCCGTGACGGACCATCACTTCTTTCCACCTCTGAACTACATTGGTGGAATGATCTACTTGTGAGCTTAGCCTGGCGACGGCGGGCACAACTTTTGGCTGGATGTTCTGTCCTGACATGTGTTGGTGCCTACCTGAAAGGCTTGAACGCAAAACTTGCACCACAAACTGTTATGACTCAATCCTGGGTTCCATGATAAAGCACACGTGTCATGACACCAAAATTTTGGAAAATTTTCACGTTGCAAGTTTCGCTGAATGATAGAATTTTCGCTTTCGCTTAGTAGACTGAGCTAACGCACGCCATCGCAATCGTCTCCGTAGCGTATTTGTCGCGTTTTTCAGTCCGGAAAATGATTGCCAAGAAAATGAATGGCATGAAAACTCCAATAAGCTAATTTGATGATCGCATCAACAATACATACTTATTTCCAATTCGTGGACCACCAAAATGTCTCATGTCCCGAATCAATCATATCCAAATTATTTCACCGAAATATTTTACGACATGACTGATCATAAGATATTCAACTCGCAGATGCATGGACGCGCGGACCCAACCTTTTTCTCGACCTGCACTCGTGTCGAATGGGGAACATGTTTCCAAATGCACTGCTGCAAATGGCAAACCTGGACAGCACCTCTGCCTGCCCTCCCCCCCGCTCAAACCTCACAGGCAGGAGACAGGGTCCACCTTCTTAAAGCCTAGGTAGCTCTCGAACCTTAGCCTCGAGGCCGCATCCGACAAGTTGCTTTTGCTAGGTACACGGCTGTACGAACACATGGCACAAGCAATAAAGCTGTGGCGTTAACCTGAGACGAATAATTTCGCACAAAGGAAATCTTGACCGCCTCGTTGTCTATAAAGAATATCACCCGCCTCCCTTGGATGGCATCCTTCCAGGTCTTCTTGGCAACAAGAATCGGATATAACTCTGCAAAGTACATGATTTGACGTTCGCCTCCTGAGCGCCATGCCCTGACAACATGCTCCGGCACCTCTGCACCCAGCACCTCTTGCCTGCCCAACACCGGGTCTAGCATGACCGCCCCAAAGGACTCGGCAAAGGACCTTGGGACGTAGTTCTGGGGTTTTCTAGGGTGAGCAAGCATTTGACCATCCCTACCCCTCCTGCGACATATCGCTTCTGCTATCGCAGGAAGGTGGAAGCCTATCTCTCTGCTGCAGGAGCGGAAGCCGTAGCAGCGCTTAGACATTGTGTTTAGCCATGTCCTGCAGACTTGTCGGAGAGCCCTCGCAGCATGCTCCAAACAACACCTTGCTATGGTCCTGCTCAGTGAGGCACCTGCGATCATCACTGTCATTGGAAGACGTCTTTTAGGTTAAATATGCTGCAGTCCCCCCTAGTGGGGCGCAGGCCGTACTGGGCGCCAGGATTACTGGTGTTGAGCCCACAACCCAAAGTCATCCTGAGGTACGTGGTACCAGGCAACCGCCGAGCTGCAACGGTCCCGCCCTTGTCTGAGCACCTGCTCTCACACGTGCTGGGCTACCGGGCTACCTCGGGGGAGCTGGTTTCAACTGGCTATTGGTGCCCATACTCACCCTTCCGAACTTCCCTCCCGTCACAGGTGGCTTGGACTCCTCCTGCGCGGACAAAACGAAGCGCCAGCGGTAAAGATGACAACGGGCGGAACATCCTCCCATGGCCCAACTCTGCGTGGCTCTGCACCTTCAAGAAGGGTGATGGCAAAGGAAACCGCGAACCGAAGCAACCTTGTCACCAGCTACATCCTGGGAGATCAGCTGAGTCGCGATCTGAGCGCAACGTCCGAACGTGTAACGTGTGGCTCGCAGCAAAAAGGAGCTTTCCATTCAAGGATGCCAGCAACTTAGCATCGGGAGTGGCACCGTCCATGAATGGCTTTGCAAGCTGCTTAATGCCTTCAAGCCTGCCCGGCTTGTTTCTCACAACGATGTCACCCTTTCCAGTGTCCTCAAGCGAAATCTGAGCCCCAAGCATCACAAACTCCGTTGAAAAGGGAAGAACCTTCTCTCCTTGGGAGATCTTCCAACCCAAGAGGCCCAGGAACTCCTCTGCCTTTGATCGTGCTGCATCGCACAACCCTTCCAAGCTCGAGTTGACAGTAGTCATCGAAAAATTCGTGATCACAAACGCGAGCAGTCTTGACAGGCAGACGCGCAAGGCACGCGCAACCCTATTGACCCCGCTAACAGCGCTGATGGCCCCAAAGGGTAAGGCGATGGCCTCGTAGAAGCACACTCTCCCCCAGGTGGGATCAAGCACTCCAAGGATGGATGCCCAGGCGTCATCTGGGCGCCTAGCAAGTTGCTTTTACGCAGCCTTCAGATCTAGAGCCCTGGCCTTATCCCCCGTCCATGCGGGGTGAAAAGGGAACGCCTGTCTCTGGCTGGCACCTGATTGGCTAGATCCTGCTGGCAGCTGGCTGGCAAACCTCATCGGAACGGAGAGACGCGCCCACAAAGAACCTGGACAAGGCCACTACGTGATCAAGACCCTCCGGCTCAATCCTTTCGGTCTGTGCGACAGTGCTGTTGATCAAGAACTTGTCACTCAGGTCATCAACGGCCCTGACCTTGTCGTCTTGTTGTACTCCGAAACGCTTAGAAGGAACCTAACAGTGAGCCGTTGTGCTTGGCTTCGAATTCCTGCCAGGAGAACGGGCCCTTGAGCCAACCTTTCTCTACCTGTTCCGTTGTTTCTTGCCAAACTGCCGCCGCAACCTCGGAATCACTAGAGGCTTTCTCGACTCCACTAGAAACTTTGCCCAGCGCGCTGTCCTTCTAAGCTGCTCGACATCGATGGCTGCTGGTTTCAAGAACTCTGAGCATATATGAGAACAACTCTTGGTCGACCACTCCAGCATCTGACATGACTTCCCTGAAGAGCAAAAGGTTCTTCTCTTCCACCACTTTTCGAACGGCAGGGTCCATGCTTTCTTTCAGCCGAGCTTCCTCAAGGGCCAACTCGTCCTTTCTCATTCTGTAATGTTCGAGCATGCGTTCTGCACCCAGCTGCAAGATGTTACGAATGGCCTCTAGGTTGGCTTCGTCGCAAGAACGGTTCATCAAAGGGATGCTTAGCCTTTAGCGCCTCCCTGGCAAACTGTACACCCCGAAGTTGGCCCAGACCTTGTGCGCTGACACCTTTCCCCCTTCAAGCCTCACGCGCCTCTATGAATTTTGAACCCAAAAGAAAGGCAGAGGGCTTGCCACGTCCGGGCACCTGCACCGCAACGAAGGCTCCGTACTCCGATGTACCTACCTGCATCTGCATGCAGCGTGGCTGTTTACCGGTGGCAAGGGCTGTGAAGATGAAACGCACCCTTTCGCAAGACATGCATCCATCAAGTCCGTGGCCAGCGCAACTCAGAATCCAGACTCGTATTCTGCCGCGCCCACTGTGGAAAAGTGCCATCTGTTTTGGACCTCACGAAAGCTCCAGGGTTCGTGCGTGTCGCCTCCCGTCACACTCCTTCATCATCCTCGGCAGCGGTATGGATGACAGCAAAGCCGTGGCTTTCTTCTTTCGACTGCCATACATACACGAGTGGGAGAGGCAACGGCGCAAGGTCCTGGGAAGTGACTGGAAGAAGCTTGTTGACCACATCAGCGATCGGGCCAGGTTTTCCATCACACAAGGGATCTGTAATTCCAGGCATAGCAGCATGATCCGCACACACAGGTTGTAAAGGTGGTTTGCCTGACGCACCCTCAAGAGATTGTCCGTCGGATTGAGCCAGATGGCATTTATAAATCATTAAGTAATCTTCCACAATCGGTATCTTGATCAAACAAAATTCTTCCTCACGAAAACTCTCAAATGATCAAGCTATAAAATTTGCAAATTGCATGACGGCCTTTTTGCTGGATGGTGGTTGGGCTCCAACCTCACGTGAACCTTCCAACCTGAGCTTCAAACACACATTCACGGACAACCCTTCACATCACCAAGTGAGCTCATCACGAGCCGCACGTTTCAACCCGTGCCGTAGGCGTGTGGTGAGGGATGAAGGCCCGGTGACTACCAAGCAGTCTTCTCGGAAAGCTTCTGCTTCTTTGAGGTGGCAAGTGACTTCTGACCAGCTTTGAGCTCG